GAAGGCCCCGAACTTCCTAATGACAAATCATCCCACACCACTAAACTACATGCTAATTGCGCCTTGGCATAAGGACCAATGAGACCCACCAAATGGTTATGCTAATAAGGCATATGGAGCCGCACCAACCAGGTCAGAGCATGAGAACTATATAAGCAAGCCTCTCCTTCCCCTCTGGGTCCTGCCCAACTCATTTGTTTCACAAAGAGCTGAAGAATAAAGCTTTCTGCAGAAGAATCCTGCTGTTGTTGCGTGCTGTTCTTGCTGGCGAGGACGGGGCGCGCGACATCTGCTAATTGTAATGCCCCCTTTTCCCCCTTATCCCTCCCTTCCCACCCATCCTCCCCAGTCCCTTTCTCTTTGGTAACAGCTCATTCTTGAGTTCTGTGTCTCAGTATTTTGCTCCTGTTTTTGCTTAAAGTTTTAAGTCCAGTGAACTTCCACCTTCCCACCTTTGCCACAGGGTCTACAAGTGTCCCTGGCATATGGGTTACATTTTCAAGTGTATGGACGAAATAGAGTGGAAATAGCACTAGATTGAAAGTAAGAACATTAGGGACTCCGTGGCGGCCTCCGCCTCCTCTCGAGGTCTCACTAAGTGGGTCTCACTAAGTACTTTTGACCTTGGGCAAGCTCTTTAAACTATTTCCCTGGATTTCAATTTCCTTATTTGTAAAACTAAAAAGTTAATCTCTAAAGTCCCTGTTAATTTTAACAGAGACTGTCTCATTTTCTTCTGCCAGCCATATTTGGGAGGGGGTGCCTCTGCATTGCACCTCTTCTGGGTTGAGTTGTCCATTGGTTAACGAGGAGCACCCTCTCAGTTCGTTAGCACAAAGCAGCAGACTGCAGTGGTTCTCTGGGCCCGTGAGGTCTCTGAGACTACTTTTCACTTCCCAGCCCGCTTCCTGGAGTAGTTAGTTGGTGCTTAACTGAGTGAATGTGCGGCAAATGAATGAGAAGTGGACCAGGAGATTCTGAGTTATCTCCAAAAAACAAAACACGCCTCCTGCCATCACAGCTTTTCAAGGCTACTGCCGGCGGTTGAACCTCTCGCAGTGCACAGGCGTAGCTCTCGAAGGGAGGCAAACGGGGCCGAGAGAGCCCAGAGCAGCTGCGCGCCCGCCCCGCCCTTCACCACGCGCGTCCCCGCCGCCGCGCGCGTCCCTCCAGCAGCCGCGAGCCGGGCAGGCGGCGCGCTAGCTCCGCGTCGCTCTGGGCAGGCGGCCGCGGCGCCGCGCGGGTGGGTGGGATCGTGGCGGAACTCCGGGTGCCTGGGCAGGGGCCGGAGAGCTCGGTGGCGACGGCTGTTGCGGTGGTGTTCGGTCCCCGCGTCGCGGCGAGGTGAGGGGCTGCCTCTTCACCACCCGGAGGCCAAAGCTGTCCGCTTGTCTTCCACGCGGGCCGCCGCTCAGGCATGGCCGGGATAATTAAGAAGCAGATCCTGAAGCACCTGTCCCGGTGAGAGCGCCGGCCCCCAGCGGTCCCTTGGCCCTCCCTGACCCCCTACGGTCCCCCTCCCTTACGCGGGGCTCCGGGCCTGGCCTCCCTCTCTTCAGCCCGTGGCGGGACTCCGTGGCGGCCTCCGCCTCCTCTCGAGCTGGACAGCCTCCTCCCCGCCCCCGCCCGTTGTCACCACTCTGTTTTGCTCTGGGCCCTCCAGTTCAGGACGCTCCTGCTCTTGGGCGCGTGCCCCAGACTCTCCTCCCCGCCGGAACAGCCCCCTATCCGTCAACGATCTCCTGGATGGCTGCCCCCACTTCGGTTCCCACACCGCCGAGCAGGTCACCCCGTCCTGCCTTGCAAGTCTCCCGGTCCCGCTGACCGTCCTTCCGAGGCCCCCACGGATTCCACCCTTTCCTGCCCGCCCGGCTGGCTTCATCCCGTAGGACCCGCTGCCCCTCCCTCAGGGCCCAAAGCCCGCCTCTTAGCCGCCTCGACAACCGCTCCTCTGCTTCCTCTCCTTCCTCTTGCTGCTTCCGACTAGACCCTTTATCTCCCTGCTGGTCCTAAATAACCCTGCCACCCAATCCCTTATGGCTCATTTTCTGCTCAGATTTCCCACTCCCAACACTGGTTTTCTCGTTCCCAGAAGCTCCCAGCTCCTCCTCTTCTTGGTTTGACTGACCCTGTTGCATCACTCTCGAAAAAGCCGTTCCTCCGATCTCTTTTCTCCCTTCTTTGCTTCTCTTCTCATCACAGACTAAATGGAGAAAGGTCATGAGAGTTGGGCATAAAGTTTCAGTAACCTTGCGTTTAAGATGTGGAGGTTTTCAGACAGCCTTTGAAAAGAAAGGACGTCCACTTCTGCTTTGCAGCCATTTATTAAGCAATGTTAGGACCCTCAGTAATTTGGGCAGCAGGGGGTGGCTGGCAAAACAGTTTTCAGGTGTAACTGGGTAACTGCTGATCCCCCTTGTGTTGATTGCAGGTTGTCCGAACTGTTGTTCACAATAACTGGAAGCTAGCCTTTCACTTAGTTTTTGCTCCTTATTGCAGGTGGGAATTAGTGATGCCTTAGTTCCTTTAGCCCCCGCCAGCCTTTGTGTCTCAAGCAGAGAGTGATTCAGGCCTTGGCACCACAATGTTCAGCGGTTTTCAGGAGGTAGAAGTAGGGGGAGAACCAGTCAACATGGGATACCTGTTTCTTAAACTGTATCTTTCCTGGTCTTCTCATTGTGTTCGTGGGTGGTATGTGAGACATTATAGCTGCTACTGCATTCCCTTTTCTGGCTGACAGTCTGGGTTATTTACTTACTTTGATCTTAGACTTTAATTACTAATTAGACTCAGATACATCTTTTGGTTCATCACCACATTATAAGAGTAAAAGGTTGGAGGCTGGAACTGGAAAGTGCCTTTGGGCCCCTTACTCACTAGTATATTATTTTTTGGGTGGCATTCATCTGGGTATTTCACAAATTTGGTTGTTCTGTGTAAAGATTTAAAAGTAGGACTAATGATTGTGAAATATGACAGAAAATTTAAAGGAAAACTATTCATTTGAATGAACATAGAATCAGAGAATTTTAGGGTTTAGAGATGACCTCACTTTACATAGCATTGTGTTTAAGAGCCTGGGCTTTTTCTGGCTTACTTTCTTCAACTGTAAAGTGGGGATAATAATAGTATCTGACTCAAAGTGTTATTGTTAGAGTTACAAGAGTTTTTCATGTGTGTAAAGACTTAGCACAGTGCCTTAACACATAGTAACTTCAATCAAACATAAGCTGTGGTTATTTTTTGGGCCACAACTTGTATGACAATTTGATATAAGCCATAGACTTCTCCAGAAAAGTTCACATATGTGAACAGGTAATTTTTTATGTAAGTTCTAAGGGGGGGAAGTTATAAACCCCAAAATACATGCCTGAACCTGCAAGGCATCCTGGACCTAGATGGATAACCCCTGACTAGTTCAACCCCTCCTTTTATGGCTGAAGAAACTAAAGCCTAGAGAGGGTAAGTGACATGCCCAAGTTGCAATGGAAGATAAAGTAGTAGAAAAGAACCCAGCTTCCTAACTCTGGGTTTCCCTGTAGTACACACACATTCTGTGCATTTTCTATGAAGATAGGCCTTGTAAAGAAAAAAATTTAATAGTACAGGCTTTGAAACCAATATAAGATTGTATATCAGTGACACTTCAATAAAAAAAAAAGACCTACCTTCAGAAAAAAAAAATAATGCAGGCTGACACATTCAGGGAATTCTTAGTGAACAAAGTATCTCTTTTAGGTGAAGTAGGAATAGGTATGACAGACATTGGTAGAAATTTCCTCAGTATTGTGAAGAGGAGGAAGAGATGAAGGTTTTTCAAGGCTGCCATTTCTGGACTTCAGGAAAAGAAGCTAGGACATGGGTCTGATTGGAGGTAAGGTCAGACTCTTGGGGATTTTGTATTTGGTCTGGTTGGGGGACAGGTTAAAATTTTGGGGCCCTTCTATATGCTTGTCTTGGGAAAATGGCATAATCATGTATGACATTTTTGTCTCTGTATGGTCTCCACTACATCTGCAGAGAGCCTGGCCTGCCCAGAGGCTACTGTAGCTTCTGTGGCTTGCCAAACCTGATGGGGAAAGAGAGAAGAGAAGGTTTACTGAGTTACTATGTTAAATAAATATTTGTAGGGGTTTAATAATTACTTGTTGCTGGTGATGACAGTGCCACTTGACCTGGAGGAGGGTGTCCTATTGCAGGAAGGATATCCCAGTGACTCTCATATGTGTTTCATTTTGGTCATGAAGTTTCAAATATTAAGGTGTCTTTTTGGATTGCATTCTCATTAGTATTTTGGTAAACAAGATAAGGTGGTGGTACTCAAGACAGTTTTGTTAAGTGCCCACTCTAGGCCAGGCCCTAATTTGGACATTGGAGATTCAGCAGGGAAGAAATGAAAAGGTCTTTTAAGGGCTTTAACCTATTGTTTGGATGACTGTTGTGTAATACAAATAGTTTCAATGCACAGTATTCCTTTAAAGAGACTCCAGAGGGGACCTTTACTTAGAAACAAAAGTAATCATTTAAAAATATCCAAAATCAATTTTTCATTAAATTAGATTATTGTTTTAGATTACTTTAGCTAATGACCTTTCATTATACAAGACAAAATATGATTGATTATTGTACATTACTGATACCAAAAAAAAAAAAAAAACATGCGAGAAATCCTGTTGTTTTATTAGTATGGATAACAATGCGAAAAAAAAAAAAAGATTGATTATAAGGTAAGTCAAGGGACTATGGCTCATGGAAAGAGCGTGGACTCTGGAGCCAGACAAGCCAGATTCACTTTCCAGCTCTGCCACTTAATAATGAACAGGGCAGCCTTTCTGAGCCTTAGTCTTCTTATCTGTAAAAGGTGATAATAAGGAAGTATACTACATACCTAGCAGTTTTTTTTTTTGAGGATTGGGGATTAAGTATTTATTATAGTACCTGGCATGTAAGTAGAGTTTAATAAAGAGTAGCTGTTATAACATGAGCAGGCAAGTTTAGGGACACTACCACACTGTGACCTACCACAGTAGGATGACGGCAGTCCACTTGACTGGTGACTGGCTCTTTTTAGAAACCTTCGGAAGTCTAAATTACCTACTCTAAATGGCTGTAGGAAATGTGATCCTAAGTAACAGAGGCATGGCTGATAGATATTTTAAAAACATAAGTAATAAGTGAAATTCAGAGGCACAGAAGATTTCAGAGTCCTTTAGGAGAAGAGCCTGATTGTGAGCTTAGCCCTCTTAGTTCCTAATCAGTGCCTTCACTCTTTATTACTCATCACCCTGAAGAGATCACTGGAGCTAGCCCCCTGTGTGCAGCAGGGAGCTGCAGGCTCCGAGAGGCTGACGGGCTTGCTCAGGGTTTGTTAAGGTGCAGGTCTGTGGACTAGTCTCAACTTCCAGATCACGCCTCTTTATACTAGACCTCACTTATTGTCACCTGTGTTTCCCAAATAATTATTTTGTGCAGAATAAAACAATTATTTTGCTTCAGAATAAAGTGCTTTTATTTACTTAGCACATATTTGATAATAATAGCCAACTGTCCGAATAAGAATTTTCCGAAGCTTGTGATTTAATCCTCAGTCTAATCATATGAGGTAGATATTAGGCCCATTTTATAAATGAAGAAATGAGGCACAAAGAGGCTAAATAACTTGCCCCAAACCATAGCTAATAAGTGATGGAACTGAGATCCAAACATAGGCACTTTGATTCCAGAGCCATGCTCTTTAACCACTCTGCTGCCATATGCTTCTCATCTATTATTTTAAGCTGAACATACCCTTATCACCAGCACCCACATGAAAGAACAGAATATTAGTAGCACCCAAGAAGCCGTTGGGTCTTCTTTCATCATTACCTACACCAAAGGGTAACTACTGTCCGAATTTCTAACAGCATAGATTAGTCTCTTTCTATACTCTCTATATAAATGTAATCATAAAGTATGTATGCTTTTATGTCTGGCTTATGCAGTTCAACATTATTTTTGTGAGATTAATCCATATCGTTGCATCAGGTTGTAGATTCTCAATTTTCATTTCTGCATAGCATTCTATTTTGTATATATACCTCACTTTATTTATACATTTTATGGTTGATGGACATTTGGATAGTTTCCCAGTTTAGGGCTATGATGAATAGTGCTGCTAGGAATATTGTAGAACATGTCCTTTAGTGAACAAGTGTACAGACCTCTGTAGGAGATATACATAGGAGGTGGAATTTCTGGGTTGGAGGATATGTATATGTTAAATTTTAATACCTAGTGCCAAACAGTTTTCCAGAGTTGCTTGGTAAATCTGCACTTCCACTTGAAGTATATGAGAGTTCTAGTTATTCTACATCCTTGCCAACACTTGACTTTTTTCATTTTTTTCATTTTAGCCATTTTGGTGGATGTGTTTTGAAAAATTCTTTACTTGATTTGTGGTAAACCAGATGGCCACTTCATTT